ATGAGATTTTCCTTCATGACTCGCTGACATCCCACCCACCGCCCCCGCACCGGCGTTCAGTCGACTGTGCCTCTGACACGGTGATACACTGGCTCATGCCAACACCCTTTTTCTCTGGCTAAATAAAGAAAAAGGTGAAAGTGGAAAAAAAAAAAAACCCTTTCATTCTGCTGTAACGGTGTTACTGCAGACGGTCAACCCAAGACCTTCTGTTATTTACTGCCTAACCTTTACTGTACACAAAACACCAGCTCCAAAAATATATATATATATATATATATATAGTGCAGGAGATAAAAGTCTTCTGCTGGTGATCTGACTCCCGTTCCTGCTAAGATTTTATTAAAAAGCTGTCAGAGCTGAAAAATGTTTGTTTTAAAATCGTTGAGCTCCGTCGTCTTCAATAACAACAGCTTCACGCCAAGAAAAAGAATACCTACGGTTAACGTCCCGTCTGGTTTACAGGATATCGGGCTGAAATGTCCACGTTACAGAAGCTGAAAGTTGTGAACGTGTACGGACGAGTCGACAGGTCGAGCTTAAAAACACCGACTTCGTACGTTGGCTTTTTTGCACCAGAGGGCGCTAACGACCGGGCAGGTCGGCATGTGTAGACAAAAACTTTATTTTTTTAGATAAATTGTTGAATCGGCCTTTGGTCGAGGATAAGAATGTGAACAGGAGAGAACTTTAGTCAGAGAGTCTTTTTAAGGGGTTTGTTTTGTTAATGCGCTACCTAGCATGATACGGCGATAGCAGCAGAGTAAACACACTGTTCTCAATTTATATACATAGATAAATAGGGCCAATGCCATACAAATAATGAGAGTCAAATAAAAGGCAGTACAACTATTATGCAGACGTCCAAGGTTGTGTGTAAAGTGTCCAACCCCGTCTGAGATGAAAGTCCACTTTCATCTCCGTGCGTTAGTTAGCCTTTAATTACTTCATCAACAATGAGCCGCGGTGTATTTTTTTTGTGCTCCCAAACCCTCGTAAGTGCTCGAACGTTTTTGTGTCACAGGTTTTAAAAGGATTTTCCAGATCGAAGTAAATGTAAAAAAAAATAATTTAAATCAGAGACAAACGTCCTTTACTTCACTGTAACTGTTTTCTCCTAGTGTTCAGACAGGAGAGAAAAAAAAAAAGTCTGAAAATGTAATTTACCACATTCGCAAGGTATGAGAAAGTACTTTAAAATGTTCCGTAAAGGTGCTGGAAAGTAATTTAGTTTGACCCGAGGAAGGTGTTTGAACCGGCGTGACATTCAGTTTGACCTCCGTGGACGTTCAGGTGACCTCCCCCACAAGACAAAAAACAAAAACAGCAGTTCTCAACAGATCTGGACACAGTGCTGATCTAAGCTCTGCTGGACAAGTTTAGCACGTGTACTGCTGCTGCTCCTGTATTACAGTACCGCGTAGCCAACTCTGAAACACCGTCCTTGCTCCAGAACCACCAGAAATCCTCGCTCCGCAGCCAAACTCAGTGCCAGTTTGACAAGGTCTTCGTTACGCTCCGGCCGGTGATTTAAGCTGCGGCCGCCATGAGCCGTCTTCTCAAGTGCATGCGTTCCATATTACATTGATATATCCAATGATAGTGATGGAGCGTGGCTGAATGACTCAGATATGAGAGGCCTCCCTTTCTACCTGCTGGGCTTTTAATCAAAAGGAGCGAACGATCCAAGGTCTGGTTGAAGCATAGCTGAGCTAATGTTATTCTAATAGAGAGCTGAAAAACTCTAAATTTCATCCACTTTTTTTTCACTCCCTGCCTCTGCATGCTGTGTATATTTAAATTGAAATGACTTTTTCCACAGCAACCAGATAAGTAGTCTCTCTGAGCCTGGAGCACTCCGCTCTCCTCCACTCGCGGATGAGGTTTCGCTTCTGTAGAAAAAAAAAATGGAGGATGTTAGACGGTTAGCCGTGTAGCGACCAGGAAATAGACAGAAAAGACTTTTTAGTGTGAGGATGTAGCAGGCGGTGAAGGAGGCACAGAAGAGAGGATTCTGACAAAGACGAAGAGGTGGAATAAAAAATAAAGGGTTTCGAAGGAACGGAAAAGGAGGTTTCATATCCAGACACACGAGTTAAACAGTTAACGTAATGTGGATCTGGATCTGTGTTCATATCCAGACACACGAGTTAAACAGTTACTGACTTAGTAAGTGTGACTTAATCTAATTGAATAAGTCAGCAACTTAGTAACGTTTAAGACGGCGTGACTAAGTCAGAGTGACTTGATCTATGTGATTTAGAGAGACTTAGCTGGAGAACCGGGATATGGGTGACTAAATCAGCAACTTAGTAAAAGTGACTAAATCTAATTAACTAAGTCAGCAACTTAGGCACTAAGACTTAGTCTCAGTGTCTAAGATGGCGTGACTAAGTCAGCGACTTGATCTATGTGTTAGAGTGACTTAGTTGGAGAAACTGGATCTGTGTGACTTAGCTGGAGTGACTAAGTCAGCGACTTAGTAAAAGTGACTTATTCTGACTTTTCAAGTCAGTGACTTAGTCACTTAAAACGCTTGTCTCAGTGTCTAAGACAGCACGACTAATTCAGAGTGACTTGATCGATGTGACTAAGTCAGAGTGACTTGATCCAATCAACTAAGACAGTGACTTAGTAAGAGTGACTTTGTCTCCATGTCTAAGTCTGGTTGACTAAGTCAGAGGGACTTAGTCAATGACAAAAGTCATTGACAAGTCCTTTGTGCACACTGATGTGACGTTAGCCAGAACACCTGCTAATGTGACGATGCTAAATGACGTGTTTTTCACGTCAGTCCTATTAACAAGGATAGACTCGTTCTGGTCTGGTGTTGAAAGAGGGAGGGAGATACAGAGATGGGGGGTGAGAGCTCTGACAGAGATGAAGATGGAGCGCTGAAGTAAAAGAAAGGGTATTAACACGCTCACCAAATCTGATCAACATGGCAAGAAAGAAAAATGGAGCAGAATCGCAGTCCCTGTGGTTTAAATATGCAGCGCAAATACCAATCATTTGGCTCTTATAATGAGGCTCTTCCTCCTCTCCTCTTCTGGGAGCTCAGCTATTAGAGGTGTGAAGATAGTCTATTGTGTAAAAGTAATTTTTTTTCTTCTTTTCCTCAGTCTCTGAGGTTATCTTCTTCAATCGCTCGTCCGTTTCTTTAAACTAAAGCCAGTGGTTCGGCCTCGGTCAGACCCACATCCTGTCCCTCACTGTCCCACCTGCCGGATTTTTAACTTCTGTTCACCTCTCTTCCTCTCACCCCAACCGCTCCGACAGAGTTGTGCCCCGTGCCATGTGGCAGCCACGGCGTTTGCTCCGAGGGTCAGTGCCAGTGTGAGGAGGGCTGGGTTGGCGCCGCGTGCGACCAGAGAGCGTGCCATCCTCGCTGTGAAGAACACGGCCACTGCCACGACGGGACCTGCATCTGCCAGCCTGGCTGGGAGGGACAGCACTGTAACATGGGTAATCTGCCGCCGCCGCCTCAGCGCACACACACACACACACACGTTTAACTGTTGTTTCCTTTGTTTCCATCAATTTGGGACACGGAGGAAATTTGTCCTTTGTTGCAGTGATCTTTGGTTTACAACCCAGTCTTTGTGTCTCCCCCCCTCTCCCCTCTCTCTCTCTCTCCCCCACAGTGACTCATGACTTGGACATTGTGGTGAAAGGTAATTCATCCTCATTCATGACTTTAATTCAACACTGTCTTTTCTTAAACCAAATCCAAAATGTGAACGTATCTGGGACGCTCTCCTGCAGACGGCTGTCCAGGGCTGTGCAGCGGGCACGGACGCTGCACCCTGGAGCAGAGCGGCTGGCGCTGTGTTTGCCAGGCTGGATGGAGTGGGCCTGGATGCAACGTTGTCATGGAAACTGACTGCAGTGATGGAACAGACAACGACGGAGGTGACATTCTAACGTCATCCATCATTTTCTCCCTCTTACCTCCATCACTTATGTCTTTCTGGCAGCTGCTTCATTCCAGTCGGTGACTTCTCCTCCTGTGTCACCTGACTAAACATCTGCCTGAAAGTCTCTCTCTCTCTCTCTCGCCCCTCGGTGCAGTTGAGTCTTGATTAGACCACTGTATTAGATCCCAGCTGTTATTATTTTATTTGAAGCAGTATAGAAACAGAAGGAGAGAGTCGTCTGTAATTTAATATTTTTGCGTTGATTTGTTGGGTTTTTTTTTTTGTACCTGCGATAAAAGATAAAAAGGTATTTTTCAAAAGTTTAAAAATAGCCAAATCCCAATGAACAAGTTCCTACGACACCGGTGATGAGGTGCATATTGACACTTGGGTTTTTGTCGGCGCCGTTTTCTCTCCTCAGGTGTAAAAAGAAAGGAAGAAAAAAAAAAAAAAAAGGGACCATTTTTCAGGAGCAGCGACTCATTACAGTCATTTTCTCTCATTTTCAGTATCATGTACAGCTCTGCTGCAGAACCTGAGCCGTGTCAGGGCACGGTGACGTATGGCTCTGCCTTCAACTGTCACTATTTATGTTGAAACCTCATTAAAGAGCCATTATGGGCACGTCTGTTGGGCTAGTGCTGCAATCCATCACTCCTTTAAAACAAAGCGCTAAAGTGTTTGTACGCTAGAACTGATATATATTTTCACATGTGCCGTTCCACGCTGGAGTGAATCCGCAGGAGTTCTGAAGAGCGGGACTAATATTATTATATATACTGTTATTATAACAGTGTAGTGTATGATATTAACAGTTCCAGCTCTGCCTCAAACACTGCACAAACCTGGTGAGGTCTGAATGGAGGCTCCTGCAAAAACAACCGTTGTTAGCTGTTCATCGCAGCTAACAAACAAAAGGAGTCGTGTCTTATCTAAAGTAACAGAAAGAACTAAATTAACTGGAGAGACTCTGTTCTATTTAAGTCACATGTGCAGGTCGTGTGTTTGTGTTAACACTAAACACCTGGTTCTGTGTTTGACTGTGACCCAGACTGAAGCCAACATCCTGTAGAGTTCTGGATCGAACTCCACCCTGGAAGAGTGAACTGTAGGAAGATTAGATCTGGAAGAACGGCCAAAGTGGATTTAGTTTTGGTTTTTATCCCACAGTTACTGCTGGACAGAGATTGTAATGTTGTCAACTTTATTGGATTGACATTTATTTGCAGATCGTGGTTCTTTCTAAACTCCAACAATTGTAACCGGTCTACAGTCCTGAACCATCCATCTGACTGTAGTGTCAGTCGTACTGTAGACTGACTGACTGTCCTGATCTCAGTCCGGCTGCTCTGACACAAACCAGGGCCGCCAACCTCAGGTTGAGCCTCAAGAAACTGCTGGGAGTTGATGATGGGGATTTTAAGATCCAGGAGATTCAGTGAAATGAAAACCTTTTTAATATGATAAATTTCACAAATTAATGCAACGATTGCCATAACTTAAAGTATAAAAAAGTAACCAGTATTACTTCTAATACTTAAATACTTCTGTATTTTAACAGAGGTTTTTATTTGCTCTGCTGTAATATGTTTTTTCCAGAACCGGCTCTTCCTTCATTGTTTTTTTTTTTTTTTTAATGATGTGGAACCAGTTGTAGACGTTCAGCTGGTGAGTGGGTGAATAAAACACGGGCGCAGAAACGGTGTAACATCGTAACACACGGCAGAGCGGAGTAACAGTAGGTGTACGTGGTATTATAATGAAATATGAATATTGATGAACTTCTTTGGGTGTTAGCGCTGTGGGTAATAAACCCTTCCACTTAGGTGTGATTACGCTTTGAAAACAACAGGAGCACGAACTCGCACCACGACCACAGAACAATTATCTGTGGATTCTTCCCTCCTTTCTCTGCATACATTTTCAAATACCTTCATTTTCTGGCGTGCGATTCATGCATTCGTCTCAATAGAGGGATATTTCATAAGCTTTTATGGCATTCAGTCTTAGCAGACTCTTTGTTTGTGGGGACAGGCAGCGATGGAAAGATAATGTCACAAATAGGCACGGGATAATAGGAGTCTGAAAAGAACGGGACTGATTTATTCAGCTGAGAGAGAGAGAGAGAGAGAGAGAGAGAGGTACATGTAGCGTTCTCTGCCGTGGACGACACAAAATTGCGTTCTCACGGGTTCCCTCTCCGCGTTGCTGTTTAACAGCCGATGCTGCCTAATAAGTTTTAAACGTCTGACTTTATTGACGACAGTACGAGGAATCCAAGTGCTTTCTCGTTAAAGTGGGCCGTCTTTCGGAGACGGACCATTGTTCTGCCCTGTCTCTGTAGGTGGACGTTATAATAGAATTCTGTTGGCCTTTAGTGATTTCCTCTGTGGTCAGATGCATTTAAATGTCAGCGGCGTTTCCTGCCTTTTCAGGAACAGGCCTGGAATAGGAATCACAAATGCCAACCCCCGGCTCCTGGTGCATTCCATCTCGGCCTCCGTCCGTGACGTATTGTTTACAGATTAGAGATTTTACCGGCATTAGGCTCAGTACGTTTTACATTCGAGTCGTCAAATACTGATGCCAGAAGTGTTGAGTCAGTCATGACCAGATCCATGATCAAACATCAGATAAAACAACACCACAAACTAAACTAGGAAGGAGTGTTCGACGCCAGGTTTTTTCAGTGAGTACCAGTAGAGTACTTAAAGTACACTTTTGATGTATTCATGTCTCAATAACATTGAACATTTCAAACATCCCAGATAGTTTTGAACGAAGGTCTCTTATCCAGAAAGAGAGGCAGAACGATCACTCTACGATAGAGAGCTGTGGCTCGACTCTTGACTCTGCTGTGCAGCGACACTACTTTAAGTAACACGTTCTCGCTTCACAACTAACGCCCCTCAAGCAAGGGTTTCAATCCCGTATTAGCTCATTTGGGCGCAAAGCGATTAAAACGAATCCGGGTTTCGTCTCGCACACTCATTGCCCGCCTCCTGTGGCCGATTAGTCCGACCGAGGCGCTCAGTCTGGTCGGTTGATGAGGTAAAACACTCACTCACTCAATCAATCAATCAATCAATCAATACCAGAGCTGCTACAGCCACAACTCCTAAACCACTGAACTCCTCATTAACTCTTCCCCGATTTCTCTCTCTCCCTCTCTCTCTCTCTCTCTCTCTCTGATCGCCTTTTTACCCCCGCCCCCCACCTTGAGTATGGTGGCTGGCATCAGTGGTCTGTTAACGAGTATCCATACTTTGAATTAGGGCCGGCATCGGACTGTTACCGATACCTTGTATCAGTAATCGCCGATCCCTAACACTATGGACTGCATCGTACGACTTCTCCGATATACGATATCGCTAACCTGAAGTATTGACAGATACTAATAAAAAGTGTCTCGTTCCGTTGTATAACTAGGTCTGTCCTAGTTCCTCCAGAAGTGGAACTCTTCCGTGCCTGAGTCTCGTCATAGCGAGGTTTGCGGGAAAACTAGACTACAGGCAGGCCAGTGAGGTACAAGCAACTCTTGGATAACCTTTGAACCTTATCTGGATTTCAGACGGCCTGATGGACTGCGTGGACCCCGACTGCTGCGAGCAGATCAGCTGCAGCTCAGACCCACTGTGCCACGGCTCTGCCGACCCCTTGGCGCTGCTGCAGCAGAGCCCCTCCAGCCCCAGCCCACCCTCCTCGGCCGTCAGCACACACACGCAGAGCTTCTACCGCCGCATACGCTTCCTTCTTGGCAAGGCAGCGACACACACTCTCCCCGGAGACGTGCCCTTCGACACCAGGTACGTTTACGTCTGAGTGTGTGAACCTCATTCTTATATATTTGTTTTCCAAACGTCTGTCCTTTGGTTGCCCTCCCGCCTTCGACAATAAAGTGAGTGATTTGTGTGAATGCATTCCAACATGGTACTGTTCAATGTTTGACCATTCGTGGCGTGTTTGAAAAAGGCCTTTTTACAATGTCCTCAAACCAAACGATTCCCAGCGGGCAGTCGCTCACGTGCCAGTTTACGGCCGTGCAATATCAGTGTCACCGCTGCAGAATATTTGTTTGCTTCATATTAATGCTTAATGCCTTTTTTTTTTCCCCAGTTACACAACTCGTAAAAGTGTCACCATAAATTTTTCAGTAGCCACTCACAGTCCTCTAACAAAGGAAATACATCCTTGCTGCCAAGATGACCCAGAAATCTTGGTGAGAGAAACAAGAAATGAAGCCCAGACGAAAAGTGCAATTTTTTTTTCTCCCTTTACAAATTCACATGTGGAGAAAACAAATAAATTAATTATGAGGCCATTTTTAGAGCAACAATCAATAGCAGCTTCCAGGGGTAGAGTAACAGAGTACACACAGCTGCCAGAGGTACCTGTACTCCAGCCGCCGCCTCAGTAAAAGGCAGCGTCTGTAAACAACCAAACCGTGCACATCCGTATGCGCGACACACGTGTCTTTCACATTTTCACATCGACTTGCCCGGGCTTAGCCATTAATCCAGTTCTGAGCACTATGTTTGACAATGCACCTGCGAAATTGAGATGGATATTTTAAAATGGCAGTGTTGTGACTGATGGTTGAAAGGCTGTGTGGAAAACAACAGCTTTTTCTGCTGCAGGTACCAGGGCCAGTTGAATGTAAACAGGATGCAGAAGTATTGTTTGTGTAATGACAGGTTGTTGAGAGGTGTTACTGTTGTTGAGCCCATATTTATGGTCTGCGTGTCGTGGCAATCATTGGCAAATTTCTTTGTGCTGAAGAAAATAATTTTTTTCGAAGCGGAGTGAATGCTGCTGCTCTGGTGGCTGCACAAGGTTGTTTGGCTTTTACAGTGCAACGAGCCATTGTCTTCAAACAAAGAACTGCGTTTTCCTTCATTGTAAACTTGTCATTTCGTACAAGCCAGGTCATTGTTATGTATGAGATCAGAAGCCAAAGACAGGAAGTGTGTCCAAAAACACAGAGCGTTGTCCTGTGAGAGTTATTTTCAGCCTCAGGAACAAGGTGGGATTACAGGAATGGAATTCACCTTCACGTTGACCACTGCTGTATTTTAGTTTGTGGTGAGTCAACATGTTTTGATTTTATTTTTTCCATTCTCCCACCCAGGATGTAAGAAGTCGTTTGATTGGCTCGCTAACTGTATCTTCAGAGTAAATGTCACTTTTCCAGGTTCAACAGAATCTGCTGAAGAACATCGGCCCGATAACAAAAAAAAACAAACATTTGACTAAAGTCGGAGATACAGATCAAGTGTTCTGTCTGTTATGCTGCCCAAACTCAAAAGTCGATTCTTTTCCATCAATACTGCCTGAGTTTCTCAGTTAACCTGTGTTAAATGTTCGAATGTGTTTGGAAGAAATCAATTCAGGAACTTTTTCCACGGTGGCGCTGCTCCCCTTCGGCTTCGTGGAATGAACTTAATCTGTTCTGCCTCTTGTGCGACGGCTAAATGAGCTGTAATTATAATCCACTGGTCCACTGGTCTGGACAGGCCTTTGTGTGTTTAGGGGATAAGACACCTGCATAATCCACAATAATATTGTCAAGTCCTCTGTTTGTCACTGTGTTACAACTGAACGCAGAGGAAAATAAGAAACATCCAGGTTTATGTTGTTCTACTGCAAATCTAATGTTCAGGATTTAACCCTCTTTCCTACTGGGACACTGGGAAAATAATGACTTGACTCTGAGAGTGCTGTTCTTTCTCCAACAAATATTTTTGGAAAGAAAAAAAACAAAACAAAAAACAACACTGTCGTCACAATAAACCTTGACGTCGTTAAATTTTAGGTAATGAGGTTCCTCGACTTACGTTTGAGTTCTTTCGTAAGTCGGAATACACGTACTTAGTTACATAAGTAACTAAGTCACGTACCTGCGCTAACACAGTGGTAACATAATCGGGGACATCAACAAACATTAGTAGAGTCTGACATATGTTTGGGAGCCATATTGAAGGGCAAAACGTTCCCAAAAAAAACAAATCTGCTTCCGCACCTAGCGGTTTTCCACTGAGTATTTCAGTGAAGTATCGGGGCTGGTACACGTACTGGTGTCGTTACCAGTCCGTCCACAGAGACGGGTGTTAAATATCTATAAGTTTGGTTGATCTGACTTCCTGTTCTCTGACTGTTTGTGTGACTGGTTTTCCCTCTTTCTTAATCTAGAAATGATGAAATGGAAAAAAAAAACACATTCATTGTTGCTCTCTTTCATTTTTAAGAGGGTCGGTCAAATAAACCCCCCCCCTCCCAGGGTTTCAGTCTGAACTCTTCTGTTTCCATCAGAGAAAAACTTCTCTGTAGAACTCAGTTTTCGACAGCAGGTCAAAACCTCGATGCTTTGTTTGGACGGAGGACTTTGTCACAGCGACCGCAGTGACTCAAACGCAGAGAAATGTTCAAACTGTCTTTATAAAAGCAAAAAAAAAAAAAAAAAAACTAAACACACAAAGCACAAGTACCAACACAGCAGGCTACTTCAGGTCAAACAAAGGAAAGAAAAAAAAACCTCCAACAGAAACAACAATGTGTCTGGTTCACACAAACAAAAGAGACAAAATGGCAGCTGAGCACAAGGTGAGGGCTTTATATAAGTGAGGGAAAGGGGGCGGGGCTAACCAAACACAGGTGCAGATGGTTGGCCGATCACCACAGTCATTCACATGAATGCCTGTGTGTAATTAACATCGTTAACACTCAAACTGAAGACAATTACAAACAGAAAAACACACTGGGATTTGAACTTAGATCCGTCCGTAGATTATGAATTAAATGTCTGTATTGTTGACGCTGACGCTTCATGTCAGAGCGCGTGTCGTTACTGATGTTGAGGGAGGATGGCGTCACAGAGCCAGGCTCCTCCGTCTCCCCCCCCCTTCCTCCCCCCTCGGCTCCCGATCTTCACTCTGATCAGGTTCGCCGTCTCAGCTAATGCACAAACTGCAAACCTGTTCACCGTCAGGCTGAAGTAACTGCACACTTCTCAGCAGCTAATCTTTGTTTCTCTGAGATGTGGAGAGAAAAAAAAAAAAGAAAAGAAACTCTTGACTCCTGCCTCTGGATTCTCGACGTTGGTTCCACATGTTGAAAAGATAAAGATGAACATACATTTTTTTATTTTTTTAGTTGTTGTTTGGATTCATATAACTGGATTTTTTTAACTTATTAATAAAAAATAAAAAATAATAATAATAATTTGAACTTTATTGATCTCACACCAGGGAATTCTTATGTTAACATTTATATTATATATAATTTAATACATCCTACATATATTTATATTATATAACAGTAGGCAGCAAGTGTGTGTGGACCTCCTTTGGGAATCAAACTCATGACTCACTGCTCACAAAGCAGGTGTTCGAACCACTACACTATAGAACCACAACAGCTAGATCCTACAGTATACATAATTTACAGTGTGAGTCTGTAAAAAAAAAAAAAACAACACAGGTCGCCATGGGAGAAGTAGCAGTGGTGTGTACGAAAAAGTATCCCAAAGTAAAAATATTAATATATTACCACACTACAGAGAGGGGGCAGCAGAACCTAGATCTGAATTTTAACTACTCCTAGTCTTGTAGTAGTACTGTACTTTTGAAGTATTTCTCTCTTTTAGTTCTATTAGAAAAAACACGCGGTTCTAAATATGGATTTATTTTCCAGTAAACCAAATGAACACAGTTTTTGCAGTAGTACTGCACGTTCTAAGTACTGCACTTCACACGAGAACAGAGGGTACAAATCTCCGCAGCGGCGTTTTAATACGTCTGAGCGAGAGATTTTCCACGGACGGTAATTCCCCCCACGACAGGAAAACATCGACTTCCTGCTTTGTATTTCATTTTCCTAAAGTCCCACAAACCTTTGGTTCCAAATCAATGGTCCGTACCAGTGAAGTACTAGTGAAGTACCAGTGAAGTACCAGCGAAGTGTGTGTGTTTGTAACAGCTCAACATCAACCTGAGCTCACGGACGTTTGCATGAGGCAAATCTGAGCTCAGCTCAGAAATAAAATAGAAAAGCAAAATGTAAAACAGGCGTGTCGTCCCGGTGCCGCCTCGACGCGGAGGCAAATGATGTGTTTGAAAGTCAGGTGCTGAGGTCAGTCTGTCGGCTGCAGGTTTACCCCTGCTCTGGGCCTGGGGTTGGTTGGTTTGTTTTTTTCCCCACAGAGTCTCAGACCTGACGTTGTTAGAGTTCCAACTGAAATTCTTCTGCAGACAAAGATATTTTCCCTCGTCGTGAGAGAGAGAGAGAGAGAGAGAGAGAGAGAGAGAATGTCATTTCAGATGATTTTCCATGGTGACAGGAAACAGAGCAGACTTTTATTTGTTCATGTTATTAATTTCAAAAGGTGAGGGGGGCGGGGGGGGATTCAGGGTCTCGGTTTGAGGAGGGTTGGAATGAACGGATCGTTAAAAGGAGGGAACATTTTATCCTCATGACAAATAACAGCCGCGATGACCGAGCGAATAAATGGAACCAACGGAACGACGTGTTCACGCTGGGCTCAGCCACGAGCTCCGTGTTCACCTGAACTCCTAATAAATGGACTTAACAATTTCACAAAAATGTCTAATTCTCCTCAAGGACTCCGTGTTTCTGTCTGGGATGAGTTCGGCTCAGTACTTGAAGTACTTGAAGTACTTGGAGGTGGAAATCTACCACTCTGGCTGCCCAGTTCTCTGGGTCGAAATAGAAGATAAATAAGATTAAAATGAGTTTCACAGAATCATAAATTTGTCGCTTGATTACAATTTGGTGAAACATTGCAAAATAATATTTTTTTAAAAGTCAATGTTAATAAGAAGAATTTCTCACTTTTTTAACTTGAAACACAAATACATAAATACAAACTTAATAACAAATATATGAAGTGTCAAGTTCAACAGTTTGATTCTTGTTTAAAGAAAAAAAAGGAAGTAAGGTAGAAAATATCAATATTATTGACCAAAATATGGCAGATGAAATGTATGTTTTTCACTGCACTGTCATTATGAACATTGACCAAAACGAACAAATAAAAAGTGTTGATGTTTTCTCCGAACATTGACCAAAACGAACAAATAAAAGGTGTTGATGTTTTTTTTTACGAACAAATAAAAAGTGTTGATGTTTTTTTTAAATTGTCTCTCTGTACGGCAGTGTTTCCCAAACCTTTTAAAAGTCACAAACCTTCGCCAACATGATAAGAGACGACCTAAAAAAAAAAATCTCTTGTGACCCCCCTGAGGGTCGCGACCCAGTCTTTGGGAAACAGTGCTGTATTTTTCTCCACGCCCCCCAGTTTCCTCCCACACCATGAATGTGATTTCTACAGAACTCACACTCAGTGTTGTGTTAAAGTTAGAGAAAAAAAAAAAAAAAACCTCATATATTTTTCACTCTCCCCAGGCGGTACAAGAAGAAGTTTCAATTCCAGGAGGCTTCGTGAAGCTGAACTACGCCAGTACACGCGCCGCGGGCTACCTCTCCGTGCTGCGAGTCCTCCTCACACCTCCGTCCCCGTCGTCCCCCGTCTCCCCACTGGGGGGTCTATCCAAAGTGCACGTCCGCGCCTCGGTCCAGGGACGGCTGTACCAGCGCTGGTACCCCGCGGAGCCGGGCCTGGTCCACAGGCTGGTGTGGAACAAGACGGACGTTTACGGCCAGGAGGTCTGGGGTCTAACTCATGCCACAGGTATGTCGTGGGTTCAAGTCCAAGAGTTTCAGAGTTTTCAGCCATTTTAAAAAAACTGAAATCAGAGCAGATTTGAACCAAACTCAGATGTTTGTTAGAATTAATGAAACTTATTTTCATCTTTTCTCAAAACTAAAAAAGAACCTATTAAAGGAGCGTGAATTCAATCTTTGGAGGAGACAAAGAAGCAGTTTTTTATTTTATATTTTATTTTAATTCTATCTCCTTTTCTCCAGTTTATATTTTACTGCCTCAGTTTCATTTCTTTTTTCTTTTTTTTTTTCTATTTTTACCTCTTTTATTTTGCTGTGTTTGTGTTCGTTCTGTCCTTGGTGTCACTCAGCAGATTTTCCTACGTTTGTATCTTTTATCTTCATCATCATCAAACGACACTTGAGTCAGATTTTTTATTCATTTATGCACTTTTTTTGTTAGAAATAGAGTGGTTTTTCTCCCAAGGTTTTTTCCCCCGGCCACTAAAAAAAAAAAAAACCTGACGGGCCAGATGTGGCCCAGGCACCTTCAGTTTGACACACATGCCGAGTCCTGTCTGTGCTTTAATTCAGTGTTGGAGCGCACTGTGGAAGAACACACACACTACTGCATATATATATATATATATATATAAAAAACCCCTCCACTCATAGCTCTGCCTTAAGCGTATGCACAGACTTATGTTTACAAAGCCGAATCTGTCAGAACTGTCGAGGCGTTCTCCCCGCCGCAGCAGATGCTATTCCTACTGTAAGCCGCTCCACGGTATATTTGTAAAGCCACGCACGCTTGCCTCTCACTTCGACAACTTAAGACGTCTCCGCTGTCAGTCCCCGAGGCCTCGTAAAGGTGGTTCAGAATCTTACGGGGAACTTTACAGCGTCCTTTTGAATCTCCTGCCGTGAAGTCAGCGTTGAACACAGAAAGACAGAAAGAAAATCGGGAACAGCAGGACCGAGGTGTCGCGGCTCACAGTCCGATATTCAGATGTTTTGGATTCAACCTCTTTAACTCAGGGGTGTTAGAAAATATCAATACACTGAAATATTGGGATCAACCTCCTGCTCCATCTTTTTCTTTTCTTTCTTTTCTCTAGTGATTCCAAATGTAGATGTTCCTTGTCATGTAAACTGGAGGAACAAATGGAGGCAGGAGCCAATCAGAGCTGCGTTCATCTTTGCCATGGAAACCAAATTGAGATTTGATCAACAACAACAGATTAGTCATTTGTTTTAACAGGAAATTATTCAGATTAAAGTCAAAGGAGAAAAATAAATTCAAAATGTATTGGACTCAAATAAATTCGATTTGTTGACAAAACAAAATTAAAAAAATTAATTAAAATTAAAAAAAAAGAAACAGTTCTCTTGACTAAATCGGTACCAGTTCAACAGCAGCTCTACTGTAGCAGGAGGGTTTTTTTCTTCTTCCACTACAACAGGAGAGGATTTTTACACAAATTGCATCTCTTCCTCCTCGGCCGCCGACAGATCGGTTCCCTCATGTTTTTCAGCTTCTAAAGATGCGTTTGCTCCTCGGCTTAAATGGCCCTGGTTTTGTGTTTACGCTGTTCTTTCTGAAGCACCTTATTTCCTGCTGATCTGCCTCCCCCGTCTCTCTCTCTCCCCCCCGTTGGGTTCCTGTTCTTTTCCTCAATCCTCCTCCTCCTCTTCTTTCTTTCTGCCCTTGTTTATTTAACGGTTGTTTTTGGGGTTTTTTTTTTAACGCTCCACCACTCTCCTCCTCTGCCCCTCCTTCTTTTCCTTTTTTTTTCCGGATGCTTCCACTTTATTCTGGTTCTCAGCGTTTTGTTGTCACACTGACACAGGAACAGGAACGTGTGTGTGTGTGTGTGTGCTGTACCCGTGTCCACATACTCCATGTGTTGAAGGGGAGATCACGCTCTGTTTGCCGGGGTGAACACGTTGCCCGAGGCTTCAGGAAAAAAAAAAAATGGGAATGAAAGCTTTCACCTGTGAGATATGGAGTGTGCAATAACGCTGTACACACACACACACACACACACACACACGTGTCCTTCCTGTAATAAAGCTCCAGTAATTTTCAGTCTTGAAGGAGTTCATAAAAAAAAAAAAAACTTTCTCTCTTTTGACGCTGGAAAAATTTTGTTCTTAATATGAAGCTGTTTTTTTTTTTTTTTTTTTTTTTTAAAAATAAAAATTGACTCTCGACAACCGTAGCTGCACTTTCATTGTTGAGTGATTGGTTTCCAGGTCATGAAGCCTGTGGTGAACTCAGCTGGAGATGAACAGATGTCGTTAATGAAAAAGTGTTGACGTGAATTCACCAAGTGTCGTTTCAGTTTCAGAATAAGACGTTTGATCACCAAGGTTTGGGTTTTCAGGATTTGTGACCTGAAATTTTCACAACCTACAGATTGTAATTTGTCTATGGCAGGGGTGAGCAAACTGTTGGCTCACGGTCCAAAGTGAGGTCCAGTGTTTGACTGACGGTCCGGTTCAGTATCGGTTTGAGGTCGAATACTGGGTGAAATAATTAAAGAAAAAAAAAACGCAAAATTTTTCAACGATAATTTGGCACGTTAGATGTGTGCTGCCATCTAGTGGAATCAACAGAAATTACAGTCGATTAGTTGTGATGCATGAAACAGAAGCACTGACATCAGAATTCATCAGACTTCGTACCGATGTTCGGTGGGACGGATTGGAAAGTCCAGCGTGCTGTGTCTGGCCCGCGGGCCTTAGTTTGCTCAGGCGACTGCTGATTGGCTTGAACTCTTCATGAAGGGTTAGTGAGCAGTCGATGAATGAAAACTCAGGCTGAATGAAATCCAGCGCGGTGGCTCGTCCGTCCTTCAGGGTGAGCAGGGATTAACACAGGTATAATAGAAACAAATGAGCCTTTTCACTGCACCGTCGGGATCGGTTCTGGACCGGGAACTTTTGTTCACACTCAACACTGTAATCTTTCTCCTCCTTCTTAGAAGACACAGCGTTCCAAATTACCCATGATTCTCTCTCTCTCTCTCTCTCTCTCTCTCTCTCTCTGCTCCTCACGGTGGAGGGAGGTCACCTGACTTTGTTCCGTCCTCTGTGAGAACTTTTTTTTTTTTTTCCCATGATGCCTGATGAGTTCAGTCAGTGGTGGCGCCGACGTTTCCTGTACGGCCTCGTTGTTAGATTTGTCACGCTGTTCCACTCCTGTCGGCCACCAGAAGGCTCTGGGTTCGATTCCCCTGAACCTCCAAAATCCCAAATCCATTTTCTTCAGTCAAAGATGTGAACTCAGATTTATCCAAATGTTGAAAAATTCAATTAAGTTATTTATTCATTTAATCTTTAATTATTTTCGGTTGTCGTCGTTAATTTAAATAAAAGAATATTTTATCAACGTGTTTTCAGTTTCCAACAAGTACTTAATGATTCATTTATTTACACACACACACACTCTTACAGTACACATTAATGCATAATAAACATGTAAATAAATAAATACTGCAACTCATTAAGTACTCGTTATAAATTCCGCCTCAGGCCGTGATTTCACTTATTTATTTTCTTTATTTCGAGCAGGTAGCAGCAGAGCATGAAGACACACAAGTATCTTTGGTTGAAAACATTTACTTTACATCGACAAATGTTTTATATTCAGATTTTGGTAAAAAGTGTCTGAATATAGAAAAAAAAAATAATTGAAAAACTGAAGATGTTCTGAGCTGAAAACTTCACCACCTCCATTACACACACACACACACACACCTTCTCTCATCTGTCACAGCACTCAGTAGAACGCGGTGTGAGAGTGACGGAGAGTTGGTTGGTTTGTTTGTTTGTTTGTTTGTTTGTTTTCTCTTCACAGGTTC